CAACACTCCTGTGAGGTAGGACAGGCTGAAAGAAGTCGTGACCAGCACAAACAAGGTCACCCGTTGAGTTATATAGCTCACTGAGGACTTGAATCTTGATCTCCCATCTCCATCTGTCTAGCCACTGTGCTACACACATTTATGTGATCATTTAGTTTGGGGAGGATTGCCATTTTCAGGAAAAAAAATATAACAACCTGTTTGTATGAAAAGGCAGGAAGTCCGGTTTTTTTTAATTTCATAAGCACTATCTGGAATACAGGTCCGAGGTCACAATCCAAGCTGCTGCAAATCTGAGCTGCTGATTTTCTCTCAGATCTTTAAGCGTTGCTGGACCAGGAGAAACCTCAGCAATCTTTTCTGCCCTGTCTCCACTTCAAGCTGCCCTTTAGCAGAGCAAGACCTGGTTTAAAAAGAAAAAGTCGGCCACCGAGCTTGCCAAGAGAATCTCTAGCCTTAGGAACTGGATCAACAGAGGAGGACATCTGAGCATGTGCAAAGTGTATAGTCCTCTTGCTGCAGAATAACCCTCCACCACCCAGCCCCTCTGGGATGGCAGAGCGCTTGCAAACAGCAGAACCTCTTTTTCGAGAATGCTTTCATCCAGGATTGGGAAACTGGAGGCCCTCCAGATGTTTAGGGTTCCACAACCCAAGGCAGATGTGAGCTAAAATCCCAAATGCCTGCAAGGTCTCATGTTTTATCTAATAGTCACTCCCTGTTGGGGAAATATTCTGACGATGGCTTCTGTTTTTGGAGGGAGGGGGTGTGACAGGCATTGTAGCATGCACCCCCCCCCAATCCGGGAGTGGGGGAAGGTGCCCCCTCCTGTGATTTAATAGCTGCTAATTGCAGCTAATGGATCAGGTGCCGGAGCCCCATCTCGGCTGCATAGCTAAGCCCTGGGTTAAATCCCTCCCAGGACTGAGACACACCCTGGCATCTCCCGAGTTAGCCATAGCATTCCATGGGAAGATCTCTAGCTGTTGAATTTCTGCCTGTTGCAGGACTATCAAAAGAGCCAAGGTGGTGTTGTGCTGGGTTGGGACTTTGGGGAGACCCAGGTTTTCGTCGTCACTCTGAGACGTGAAGGTGCTGCAAGACTGCTATTTTCAGGAAGTACCCTCTGAGCATGTGCAGAGTGCCCTTTTTGTATCCTACTGAACTATCCCAAGCAGCCTGTGCATGCACAGAGTTCCTAGCAGGAAGGGCTGGCGGAGCATAAGAGTCGACTGCTGGAGTGGCATTGGGAGATAAGTTTCAAGTCCTCATTGTGCCAAGAAACTGGATGACCCTGCCGCTCCTCTCTCTCTCTCTCTCTCAGCCGGATTTATCTTGTAGAGCTGCTGTGAGGATGATGGCCCTAAACGGTGGCCCTCACCTACAGTATCTAGTTCAAACCTTTGGAGGCAGTCCCCAAATCTAAATGTTGTTAATATATTTTTGGAAGAGCCCAGGGTTGGGAGGGATGGAGGCCAAGCACATACTGAAAAAAAAATGGGGTCAGCTCGCCGGCTCCGGTGGAGAAAGTGCAGGAGAGGGATGCTGATGACAGGGCACCAAAGTCTCCAGTTCTCAGGCTCCTAGCGTGTAGGAGGGGAGAGAAAGGAGTTGGTCTTGAGAGGTAGGGCCGCACCTCCCAGGAAAACAGGTTCGCTCCCTTCCTGCCTGCTCTAACCTGCCACGGCAGGGGTGGAAACGAGTACGGGGAGCTGAGTCGGGATGAAAGGTGTGCTCCACTCCCCCGTGGAGGGATCCTGAAGACACATCTGCCCAGCTGTTGGGCGTGTGCACTTGGGTGTCACGAGGATCCCGGAGTTCTTTTGCAAAAGGGCTGAGCCAGCCATTTTTCTTGCATAAGCCAGATACTGTACAGTATCACAGAATCGTAGAATCATGGAGTTGGAAGGGTCACTAGGAGGCCATCCGGTCCAACCCCCTGCTCAAGGCAGGAATCCCAATCCGAGCAGATCTGGTCCAATTTTTCCTTGAAGGCCTGTGTCCAGAACTGGACACAGTACTCTACCAGTGCTGAATGGGAGGAGGGGAGGACTAGTAACCTCATGAGATTTGGAGACTATACTTCTGTTAATGCAACCTAAAATAGCACTGGCTCTTTTTTGTAGGCAGATTGCAGAGCTGGCTCATATTCTGCTGGAATATCAATGCAGGCCCCAGGATGATTGCTAGTTTTCCCTCGCAGGAAGCCCACGGAGCCATTCCCAACCCGCACGCCAGCTAGGAGCAGCGTGGTGGGACTTGTAATCCAAAAAAAGCAACTTTGCTACGTTCCAGCACTGACAACGCAGTGCAGATCAACCATAAGGGCTATCGTGGATCTCGGGGACGATGATCAACGTCTTCCCCGTCTCCGGTGCCTTTAACAGCCACTGTTTTGTGGATGATGGAGATGAGTGTACATTCCGGATACCCGCCCCAACAAAACCTCTTCAGCTGTTTTCCCCCCTTGCGTGAGAAGCTGCTACCTAAAGCATACGATCCACCCTGCCCTGGGTTTTATAATGGCCCAGAAGCAGGCCTTTCCTGCTGTTTTTCTGGTCCGCTGAGAATGCTCCCTGTTTTGTAATTTTTCTTTTTTCGGGAGCTCAGCACAGATCCTGCTGCTTTGGATGTCTCTGGACTGACCGGGTTGGGTCTCTCAAAACTACAAGCCCACCATCAACGCCAGCATCTTCACAGCGGCTGTCCGGCCGCTACCCGCCGCCCCTCCTGTTTCTGGACTCTCCCTGTTCTATCGCACCCCGGCCCTCTGGCATAAAAACAGCCACCTCCGTGGCCGTTTCGAGCCTTGCCCGATAAAGGAGGTCATTCTTGGAACGGGAACATCAACAAACAAGGTAAAGGTTGGCCAAGGTACATGGCCAAACCTTTGACTTCTCTGCCTTGTTTTCCTGGAGAGTCGGAAGTGAGGACTATGTTGGAAAAAACAGCATGCATGGGATAAAATTCCCAGAATCTGCCACTGATATGGCCTGGAGCTTTCCCGATGCGTTGCTCTAGGAGTTGTCCTCCAAAAATGGTCTTTTCCAAATGATGAGGGAGAGAGGATGAGGCAGAGAGACACAGGGGAAATAATCTGCGTCTAGCTTTCTATCACCTCTGCTAGTCTACATGTTAACAAATTACTTGCTATTGTAAGGTTGCTTCTGAGCATAAGCAGAGTACCCTCGAAAGAGAAGCGCTGATGCTCAAAAACTGTGAAATCAAGCTTCTGAGGGTGTTCCCATTGCTCCCTCATGACAGGGCACCTGTGTTTTGTAGTAGAAAATGACTTGCTGAAGTGTACTACTTGCCCATACTAGGGGAAACTGCACCTGTTAAATTTCTGCCTGAGATGGTTCTTCAAGTTTGAATGGCCTGGCAGGAAAGCATGGCAGCTCTCTGGCTTCTTCAATCTATCTCTTAGTCTTAAAAAGTTTGGAGAAAGTTTATGTTCCCGTAGTGATGTGGGAGTGACATTTTGTGCATGCTCAGAAGAACTTTTAATCGCTGACGCTTCATGGATAGTAGGGGCTGCACCAGGATACCAGAAATGGATTGGGCCTCAGTAGAATCCCATCAACCCTGGTCTACCTTGCAGGGTTTTCCTCCGTCAGAAAAGGAAAAAAAATCACAATGGCCCACTCTGCAAGGTTCTTGTGACAGTCCATGGATGACTTAAGGATTTAACCATATCAAAAATCAATAGCAATGATCAATATTATTGGCTTAGATGGCTGGGAAGGGTACACTTGTAGCTCTCAGTGCAGAACTGAATTATTTCTGCACCTTTCTAAAAGGTTCTTGTGCTTCCACCCTGGGTGGGTTTTGTTGTCACTGAAGACAGCAGTTATCATTGAATCGTAGACTCGTTGAGTGGGAAGGGGGCCTCTAAGGCGAACGAGTCCAACCCCCCGGCTCAAGGCAGGAATCCAAATCAAAGCAAATCGGACAGGAGGGTGGTCCGATTTTCTCTTGATGGCCTCCCCGGTGTTGAAGCGCTCACCACCTCCCCGAGGTCCTGGTTTCCGTTGTCGTACTGCTCTAACAGTTAGGAAGTTTTTCCTGAAAGGAGACCAGTCGGAAGCCTGCACCACCTTGGATGTTATTGCGTTGCACCCCACCCCACCCCCTGGGCAGCCACATCTTGTTCATTTTTCCTGGTTCAGAACAGTAGCCCGTACACACTCAGCGGGCCAAGTCGGCCCATGGCATAAATGAAGATCATGGGAGCATCTTGAATCTGAGCAAGAGCTGGGCCAGAAAGACAGGCCAGACGTGGATGGAAGCAAAAGATAATGCCAGCGTAGGGGTAGAGAGAGGAAGAAACAGAGGCATGGGAACAGAACAGGGAGTGGGGACACCAGCCGCCTGACCCCAGTGAGGTTTCAGGAGTCCAGCCAACAAGCAAACACTTATCTAGCTCAGATCTGTGGCCAAGAGAGAGGGAGGTTAAGTGTGCATTCAGTGGGGTGTGTGCCAAACCCTGGGTGAGGCACATTCCGTTGGTCAAGTCAGTGGAACCCAGGCTGGGAATCTGAGCAGGCAGCTCCGTGGTTATGATCATGGGTTAGGAGAAGGGACAGGACCCGGGTCTCCGGAGACGCCAGTCTGCCCACTTGGGATGAGACGGGTTGATTTATAACACAGGACACACCGTTGCCAAGACCAAGTTTGGAGTTGGCTTGACCTTGCTGAAGACCGGAAGGGTTTCGGTGGGGCTCCCAACCAAGGGGGAATCCTTGCAGGTAGGAAGATTGATAAGGTCGAGTTCAACCTACGTTTGCACCAGAACGACCCAGAACCTGATTCACGGAGGGAAACAAACTGTTGATAAATCGCACCTATTTATTTATTATTTCAACTTTCAGAAGCAAACAAAGGGAGGTGGAGAAAGGATGGGCAGCCCTCTGTTGCCCAGAACTTGGCAACGTCCATTTTGAGAAACGTCTCTCGGGTTCAGCTGTCTCGTCTCATTCCCCGTCTTCTTTCCCCGGCAGGCTCCAACCCACAAGTCTCCAAGGGCACCCATATTCTGGTCCCCGTGGGCAGCTCTCTGCCTGGCCTGGGCTGGTCAGCAGAGGCGACGGATGTGGGCACGAACACCATGTCCCTCCGGGTCTCCACCTCGCCCAAAGCCCTGATTGGCAAGTACCAGTTCAGCGTCAAGACCCGAAGCAAGGCGGGCGAGTACCAGGCCCCCTTTGACCCCCGCTATGAGATTTACATCCTCTTCAACCCCTGGTGCTCAGGTGAGTATGGTGGTGGGAAGGCCAACAGGATCTGTGAATGCCATCAAAACATGCTTAGGAGGGCTAAAACTATTCATAAATGGGTTTTTGGATGGCAGTTCCTAGAAATCTCCAAGAATTGGGAGTTTCGGCACTGTATCAACAAGCACCTACATTTCGCTCGCCTGGAGCAGGGCCTACCTCCAAGGCTGCACGGCCTTCTCTGGCCTCGCTGTCAAAGAAAATGGAACTTGTCGCAGTGCTTCCTGGGAATTATAGTCTCCCTGACCATTAGGCCACCTCCTGAAGAACTACAACTCCCAACAAGCGCCGTGGCCGCTTCCTTTTTTAAAAAAAACAGAACCTTGTTTTAAAATGATTGATTTTTTAAAAATCAAGTTTAATTTTTAAAAATTGTTTTAAGTTCCTCAACAACATGCAGGAAAAGAGTCTTGTATTAGAAGGTACAATATTCTAAGGAGAAGCATCTTTTTTCTCACGGAGGGCATGCCTCTTCTAAAAAGGTACCCGGTGCATGTGAAGAGGTGATGCAAGTAGGAATTTTAGAAGAAACAGAGTTTGGGAAAGTGAATTTTTGGACCACAGCTTCCAGAATCTCCAGGGCATTTTGGGACCCAGAATCCAAGAAAGCCACTTTTTCTGGATTTTGAGAGTAAAGAGAATGAGTGGTTATCATTGATTTTTTTAAAAATATTGATTTATTGGGGTAGAGATCTCTTTGTATTCCGCCATGTGAGACCCAGCACAGCTCTGTGGATTTCAATGGGAACAATCAGAAGAAGCGTGTGTTGAAAGCTCTCATAGAAATCAATGGGGCATAATTATGTATGTCTCTAACTAGGGTCTTTTTTTAAAATAAAGAATAAGGAGTGCAAAAAAAATTTTAGAAGAGAACTTGAAATCTTTTTCCCTACTCCTTTTTTGCTGTTTTTCTTGGTCCCTGGTTCTGTTTTGTGTCCCACCAAACATTCCCCAAGCAGGAGAGTGAGTGGATGGGGCCGAAACCTCCCATCGAAAGAGGTTTCCTTATCGCAACTGGAGGTTAACTCTGTTTGTTTTGGAAACCTCGTGGCCGAAGGGATTGGTCAGGACACCAGCCCCCCTGGGTGCAAAACCGCAGCTCCTTCTGCACTGGAGGGTCTGATCCGCCTTTTCTGGACGAGAAGGTCTTGTTTTTCTCAGCCCTGGAGCTGCTAAGGGGGCCTGATCTCCCACGCCCCGGATCCTGACCTTCAACAGGAGAAGCCATACAAAAGCATTTGGGTGGGAAAGGAAGCTCTTTATCTCACATGGAAACAGAGATGAAATAAAGCAGAGAAGAAAATAAACCTCTTGCCACCAAAGAAGCAGAAGTGAGTTCAAAACGGCAACTGACCCAATTTGGCCCAGCTTTTGATCTGTCGGACTCAAGTGCCCATCGTCCCCACAGTGTATGGCCACAGTGCTCCTGTTATGCCCTCACACATCTGGAAGGCACTGGGTGGGGGGAAAAACGGTTGAAGGAGCACTTTGTAGAAAGGGGAGGGTGCTCTGCACATGCTCTAGAGATACTCTTATCTGTCAACCCTCCAAGGCAGCCTTCCCGAAACTGGTGCTTTATAGATAGGTTGGGCCAACACTCCAGATCTCAGAGCTGGGGGCTTCTTTTGACCCCCTACTTTGGAGTCGAAACCTTTTTTTTACAAAAAATCCCATCAGAATCCACCCGGGAATTCGCCCTCCTCTCGAATCCTCCCTTAAATCACATCTTAACGTTGCTCTGAACTTTAGATCCTAAAGTTTAAAAGAGTCTAAAAAGTTTCCCTCTGCCTCTCTTTTTCGTGCCCAGAGGATTCCGTTTACATGGCGCAAAAGGACTGGCTGGAGGAATACGTTCTGAACGAATCTGGGAGGATCTACTACGGGACAGAGACCCAGATCGGAGAACGGACGTGGAATTACGCCCAAGTAAGTCCTCTTGTGTTTCTTTGGAAAGAGCAGAAGCGCGGAGCTCGGAAACAGCCGTTTCAGGAGGGGTGTCGGCGATGGGTGCGCGGTTTGTTGTGGTGTTTTTTTTTTTATTTTATTTTTTGCACTCCCAGCTCCGAGGGCTGTCGGCGATGGGTGCACGGTTTGTTGTGGTGATTTTTTTTTACTTTTTATTTTATTTTATTTTATTTTTTGCACTCCCAGCTCCGAGAATCCTCTTGAGAGAATCCCCAGGCAGAATTCTGGGAGTTGCAGCGCCAAACGGCACCTACATTTCACTCGCCTGGAACAGGGCCTTTCTTCCAGGCTCATGGCCGAAAAGGAAACAGAGACTTTCCAAAATGGGCTTCCTGGAAGCCTTCCTTCATGGCAGCTGTAGCCTCACGGCCCCTCTCTCTGAGCCCTCATTAATAGTTTCCTTTCTCTTCTCCCCACAGTTTGACCACGGCGTTTTCGATGCCTGCCTCTACATGCTGGACCGGCGTGGCATGCCTCACGCGAGCCGTGGAGACCCCATCATGGTATCCCGCGTGGTCTCTGCCATGGTGAGCAGCGGATCGGCGCCTGCCCTGAACTTCCCCCCTAAGATTTTCTCATCTGATTTTTTTTGAGGGGGGGGATAATACTTTTCCCTTTTTTTATCCTCTGTCTCTCTCCTATCCTTCTTCCAAGGAGCCTGGGTATCTTTCTTTTTTAAATTACACAACAACCCTATGAGGTCAGTTGACTTGAGTAAGTGGCTGGCTTCAAGCCATTCAGTGAAGTGAGGAAAATTTTTTTTGAAAACAGGTCACTCCCAATAACAAGACAACACTCTCCAGGCGTCTCTCTGTCTGTCTAGATTTTTCTGCCTTAAGCCTTGGTTCAGCACTTTACCCTTGACTCCTGCTTTTCCTTTGGGACCAATCTGTTCTGCTTAAAAAGGAGAAATACCCCGGAATTTTTAAAAGAAGCAAAAAACAAAACAAAACCCTGTGCATCTCCTGGCAGAAAGAGGGTCAACCGAGTCCAGTAGCCCTTTTCCTCAAGAGAGGTGTGTGTGTCTGAGGCAGGCTATATACGATGAAGGAAGGGGTCAATGTCATTATATGGTTACAATTCTCTAAAAGGAATCGTGCGACCTTGTATGACGGGCTCAACCAGCAAGGCTGTTTCCCATCGGCAGGGAGTTCCAAAGAGGAAAAAAAAAAAATCCTGTTGGAACGATTCCTCAATCGTCACATCGTGTACTTTCTGCCCGCGGCCACTCGATTGCAACAACTGCCTTTCTGTATCAAGAAAAACATGTCTGTCCCTGATAGGTCTCTTTGATGTGTTCCCTAATAGGTTTTCTGCCCCGTCACTCATATTTGTATACATTTATGGCAGCACATCGTGTCTTGGCCCCACTCGGTATATAGAGGCATGAAGCTTGGCTCCAGCTTTGGCACACCTGTCTCTTTCTCTCACGCTTGGAGCAGAGCCGTACCAATTCCCCTTCCTGGACGACGGTTCCAAAAAACACAAATCCGCCCAGCTGTAATTTAAAGTTATGGAAATTAGGAAGGATTGCCGAGAGAAGGGTGGCGGTTTGTCTATGGAAATTCATGACACGTCCTGATGAAATAATGGCTCTTTCATCATTAAGGTGTAGGGAGAGATGATTTATCACCAGGATGCACCTCGTTTACTGGTATCTCTTGCGAGGCCAACTTGGGGACGTCTAACCAGCTTGGCTCACTGTCTTTTTCTCTTTCTCTTTTCCCCCAGGTCAACTCTCTGGATGACAATGGGGTGCTGGTTGGGAACTGGACGGGTGACTATTCTCGTGGCACCAACCCCTCGGCGTGGGTCGGCAGCCGAGACATCCTCCTGAAGTATCACAAGACTGGCTATCCTGTCCTTTATGGACAGTGTTGGGTATTCGCTGGAGTGGTGACCACAGGTAACTGCCATGTAGGAAAGAGAAAGAGGAGGAAGCGAATGGCATATAAGAAAACGGAGGAAAATAGGGATGTGTTGTTTGGATTTTATGGGACTTCAACTCCCAGAATTCTCCAGAAATTCCCAAGGCTGAATCATGGGAGGTCCAGCCCGTAGACCTCCAAAACTGCCGACACCTACAGACATTTATATTTCGCTCAACGTGAAACAGGGCCTGTCTCGGAGGCCTGGAGGCCTGTCTCGGGCCTACTTCCTGTTGCTGATGTAAAGCAGTGGTCCCCAATCTTGGGCCTCCAGATGTTCTTGGACTACAACTCCCAGAAGCCTCCACCACCACCTCTGCTGGCCTGGATTTCTGGGAGTTGAAGTCCAAGAACCTCTGGAGGCGCAAGGTTGGGGACCCTGATGTAAAAGACTGGAAGCTGCCACCGTGGTTTTGGGGCCTCGTGGTTCGAGAAAGCCTAACAGAAGCAAAACTACAACTCCCCAAAAGCATTGCAGCAGCTTTCATTTTTGTACGTTAACAACAGGAAGTAGGTCTGAGGCAGGGGTGGAGCCTTCAAAACAGGCCCTGCTGCTCCAGGCAAGCAAAATATAAGTGTTTGTTGGTGTGGGTCTATGAGCTGGAACTCCCAGGATTCTGTCCTGTGAATTTCTGAGGATTATGGGACTTGAAGTCCAAGTGATTCGACAGGCGCATCCTGACAGGCGAATGTTAGAAAACATGAAACAGATAAAATTAGGCTAAAGAGAAACAGGGAAAATACATCTCTTAGGGCAGTGGTCCCCAACCTTGGACCTCCAGATGTTCTTGGACTGCAACTCCCAGAAGCCTTCACCACCACCTCTGCTGGGAGTTGAAGTCTAAGAACATCTGGAGGCCCAAGGTTGGGGACCATTGACTTAGGGTACCTACATATTTATTATGGCATTTCCTGGAAAATGGTTGCTGCCATTGGGCTCACATAGAACAAGAGTCTAGCTCACTCACCCATTTAGCTACTTGTCTGAAGCGTGGCTGGCTGGGAAATTCTAAGCGTTGTGGGTTTGTTTGTTTTTTAAAGAAAGAGTAATATTTCCAGGCTCTCATCATCCCCTTTGGCTCAGCTAAACAAGCCAAGCATGTATTCCCTGAAAGAATTTGCAGAGGATGCAAAGTTGAGAGCAACTGTAGACACTTGAAGACAGTGGTTCCCGAACTTGGATTCACCAGATGTTCTTGGACTACAACTCCCAGAAGTCCTAGCCAGCACCAGTAGTGGTGAAAGCTGCTGGGAGTTGTAGTCCAAGAACATTTGGGGAACCCAAGTTTGGGAACCAATGCTGTGGAAGATGATGCAGGAAAGCATGAAGGTTTTCTCTCTGCTGAAGCTGCCTTTCTTCTCGTCTGCTCCAGTGCTACGGTGTCTGGGCATCGCCACGCGAACCGTCACCAACTACAACTCGGCGCACGACACGGACGTCAGCCTCACGATGGACATCTACTTCGATGAGGACATGAAGCCTATCGAGAACCTCAACGCCGATTCTGTCTGGTGAGAGAGCGACACCTCCTTCTCCCAGAAGTGGGGATGCTGTGCATGCATGCGCCGGGGAGGGGGGGGGAAGAATCAGAATGTGGATGGCTGATGCCTGACCCAGATTTTTCCTCTCCTCTTTTCTCGTCCTGATGCAGGAACTTCCACGTCTGGAATGACTGCTGGATGAAACGCCCTGACCTTCCTTCAGGGTTTGATGGCTGGCAAGTGGTGGACGCCACCCCGCAAGAATCCAGCAGTGGTAAGAGGAGGACGCTTCCCATACAATACTCCTGGTGGAGGATAGTGCAGGCAAAGGAAGAGCAGTATACCATATAGATCTCAGAGCAGGCTGTGGACATCACACCTTGCACCTAGAGAGGATGAATGGGAGGAGCACCAGAGCACCAGCGCTTCAAGTGGCCAGAGGATGGAATTGCAGCCACCAAGTCAGGAAAGGTTGAGTGACCTTTAGTACGATCCAAGCAAAAAATATATATATCAGGCAGAGAAGATGTATGATCATGTACGACAGTCGGATCTTAGAAAGCATTATAGGTAAAAGCAAAGTGGGGGGGGGGGAGAGTTTAAAAAACACAAAAATGTGGTGGCAGCCTAAAGACTAACAGTTATATTTTTTTTAATGCGACCTTTTGTAGACAAGCCCACTTCATCAGACGCAAGAGCTTAGACCGATGAAGCTGGTGGACTTAGATTCTCTGTCAGAATAAACCACTTTTTAACAAAGACATACATTTATAGGGCTGAGCCCAGTTCTTTCCCATTTTCTCTTTTCTACTGCAAAAAAATGAACTTCATGAAAAAAAAACAGTATTTTAGATACAGAATAAACAGAGGGAATCACACAGAAAGACCCAATATTCCATCATTATAGGAAAACAGATCAGCTCCCTCCTCCCTGCTTGATTTACTTCCCTCTCAACCTTTCCCCCACAGGGATTTTCTGCTGCGGCCCCTGCTCTGTGGAAGCCATTAAGAACGGGCTGGTCTACCTAAAATACGACGCCACTTTCTGCTTTGCTGAGGTATTTCTGAAGGGTTTTCTGTGTGTGAATATTACCCAGATGGGCTTCTCTGTAACTGACCAGGTCTCTTGCTGGCGCCCCTGAATTTTCAATACCCAGGATGCTGTGATTATAAAGGTTTGAATAGGTCCACAAGCAGTATTTAACGATGTTCGTTGGCGGCCACAAGCAGTATTTTTTCTGTAATGGAAGGGTGGCCCTCCAGGTGTTGACGGACTACAAACTCCAGCCTTCTTCACCACTGGCTGTGCTGACTGGGGCTCCGGGTTGTTCCAGTTCAACAACATCAGGAGGCCGAGGCATTGCCTCAGTGGAAACAAAATCATAAATCAACAAATAATCGTTCCCAACAGCCATGACAAAGGATCTTCATGGTTAATACATCAAGACAGCGAATGGAGGCCACCCTGTAACTGCACTGAATTAGAACCAGAAGTGGCTTCCTGTTTTTCATGTCCGATGGGCTCTCCCAACTAACCAAAACTCAGAGGAGAGGTTGTTTTCCAAAGTAATGATCTGAAAGAAAAATCATTAACGGGAAGCATCACCCACGGTGTGTCTCTGCAGGTCAACAGCGACAAGGTGTATTGGCAGCGCCAGCCTGACAGGACGTTCAAGATCGTCTACGTGGAGGAGAAAGCCATTGGGCACCTCATCAGTACCAAAGCGGTGGGTTCCCACAAGCGCCAAGACATCACCGACATCTACAAACATCCAGAAGGTATGGCCGCCAGTCGAGAAGCAGAGAGAATTCAGTGGTGCTCAGCTTTGGGTCCTCCAGATGTTCTTGGACTACAACTCCCAGAAGCCTTCACCCCTTGCTGTGCCACCCCAGGATTTCTGGGAGCTGTAGTCCAAGAACATCTGGAGGACCCAAGGTTGGGGTCTTCTGGGATGGCTCAGAAAGCAATACAAGTGTGGTTGCAAACCTCTTAGATTTCATTTCAGTGATATCCATTCCACCCCTGTTAATGTTCCGACTCTCTGATGGCTTTTCGGCTCTTCTCTTGAGTTCTCAATTCTGGAACGGGGCAATAAGTGGGTAGATTTGTCTTCTAAGCCCTCTCTCTTTCTTTCTCCATGGTTCTTTTCTCGCAGGGTCCGAAGAGGAACGCAAAGCGGTAGAAACGGCTGCCAAGTACGGCACCAAGGCCCACATCTACAAGAACAAGGAGTGGGGAGACGACATCTCGGTGACGGTGGAGACGGACGAGGCTTACACAGGCCAGGACATCTCCTTGCGGGTCATCCTGAAGAACCGGAGCGCCATGCCTCGCAGCGTCTCCCTCAACCTCTTCGTCGCCGTCATGTACTACACGGGCGTGACAGGCAGCAACTTCAAGCAGGAACGCCGAGATGTCCAGGTGCCGGCGGGCGGAGGTAGGACTGGTCTCACACACACCCTGTGGCCCATCTGGGCCCCATCGTGAGGGGATCTCGTTGGGGTGGGTGATATCCTCATCTCTTCTGAAACAACATGGTGTGGTTGCCTTGGGCAAGGCTGATTATGATGCCCCAAAAAGCCTGTGGTGATGATTTGATTAGAATCACAGAATCCTAGAATCATGAAGTTGGAAGGGGCCTCAAAGGTCATCCAGTCCAACCCCCTGCTCAAGGCAGGAATCTTAAGTCCAAGCAGATCTGGCAGAGGGTGGTTGAATTTTTGCTTGAAGGCCGCCAGTGTTGGAGAGCTTCTAGAGATACTTGGATCCACTATCATACTGCTCTAACAGTTAAGAGGTTTTTCCTTATATTCAGTTTGAATCTGGCTTCCTGTCACTTCAGCCCATTATGAGGCGCCCTGCTTTCTGGGAGGATCAAAAACAGATCCTGCCCGGCATCCTGCATTCTGGGAGGATCAAAAACAGATCCTGCCCTCCTCGGTAGGACTGCCTTTCAGGTCTTTGAAAAGCGCTCTCCGATCTCCCCTCCATCTTTTCCCAAGGATAAACATGCCCGGTTCTTTCCGTCGTCTTTTTCCAAGGATAAACATGCCCGGTTCTTTCCGTCTTTCCTCCTAGGGCTTGGTTTGATTAAGTTGGGATCTGTATAACCCTGAACCTTGCCCCTTCTCCCTCCAGCCCAGGCCGTCCCCATGGTGGTCTCCTACCCAGAATACAAGCCGCACTTGGTGGACCAGGGAGCTATGAAGCTGAGCATCTCTGGAAAAGTGTCCGAGACAGGACAAGTCATCGCCAAGGAGCACACCTTCCGTCTGCGCACCCCGGACCTCACCCTGACGGTAGGAGGAGGATGCTGGGTTTGGAGGGCCTGGGTTTAGAAAATAGGGTGCAAAGCCATCAAAGCACTCAGCTGGATGGCGATCGGTGGCTTTGATCCCCAGGTTTTAAATTCCCAGTAAAAGTATTGGCTCGGCTTGAGCGGAACTTGTGTGGATGGGTTCTCTGGGGGGGCGAGCGAGGGCTTGTGGATTTCACCTCTTTAACCCTATTGTATGCATGCTACTCTGGCAACTCCCAGTCTGTCACCCAGCTTGGAAGTAATGCTCTGCCAGTTACAGTGTGCCATTTTCGAAGTTGCAAGGGGCCAAGCCAGAAGATCAGGCAGTTGCAAAATGCACACCGCCTCCAACTTTGCAGTTGGAGGTGTTGTGCATTTGCAAAATCAGCCTATGTGGACAGAGCCTGCGGTCTCTTCTACAGTAATTGGCAAACCATAGCTAGCGACTTGGCAACTCCTGAAGCCGTGAGAGCTATCGGACGATGACCAGACCTACTTTACTGCTTAAGCCAGTTTTGCTTTCAATTACGAAGGTGCCCCCTGTCCTGTTTTGGTCCAACAGCAGTAATGTTGTGTTGCTTTTAAAAAGCAGCACTCATACCAATAACCAACTTATTGTGGTGGGCGGAAAGGTATAATGAGGATCGTTACTCAAAAATAAGTGGCTTTGAAGGATCAGTGGAATGACTCCTTCCCATTTTTTGCATTTTCTGAAGATAGAGAGAGAGAACATCAAAAAGTAATGTGTCAGTAACAATTTATTACATAATGTTATACTTTCAGTAACAACCAGGAGTAAATAGTTACTTTTCAACCGTGGCCGGTAACAAATTACTTTCTAAAAGTAACATCCCAGTCTCAACTCTGTCACATGACTGAATGACTCTTCCCACTAAACCAGGGAGAAAGTAGAAGGGAGCAGGACTCTTGGATATGGTCTTGCGGAGTTTTCCAAACACAAGCCTCTTAATACCCCCCGTCAACTCCAAGTTCTACTACTTCTCCTTCACGGTTAACTCTTCCTCTTTTGCTTCCTCAGTTGCTGGGCCCGGCTATCGTTGGGCAGGAGACCCAGGTCCAGATTGTCTTCAAGAACCCGCTACCGACCACGCTGACCAACGTCATCTTCCACATGGAAGGGTCGGGACTTTCTACCCCGAACACAATGACCGTCGGGTGAGTGATCCATCTGAGTTTTCCCCCACCAGAAGGTTCGGCCATGCCCCGTCTTTCGAAAATCACACCTGGAATGCCTGTGCCCACAGTGTTAGGTGAAAGCCCTCAAAATTCCTCTCTCAGGAAGGAATTCTTTTTTTCAAAACATACAAACACACACATGTGTGTGTTTTAATCTATAGTCTGGACGTCTTCCCACGTGGCTGGAGAGAATTTTATCCATTGCTCTCGCTGCATCCTCATTCTAAGACATTTTTACAAGGTCACAATAAAATCGAAAAATAAGGTTTTATGACTGTGCCGTAGAGGCACTGCGCTCCACAGAAAGGATCGGTGCCTTGACACCCCTTGGAGAAATAAAAAATTCGGCACAGGAATGAAACAGTGAACAATATATATATTCCAACAAGAGACACATTTGTGGATTTGTGTGTCCCCCTTTTGAAAGACGACCTCAAGAGGTGGCTTACTCCTTAAACAGAGCTTGAGAAAACAACATTTTTTTTCAACCACACGTCTTGGGATCCCCTGCTTGTCTAGCTGCAGGATTATGGGAGTTGTTGTCCAGGAAGTAACTTTTCCAAGCTCTGCCTTGCCCCCTCTTCCCACCCGTGCTTTATGAAAGTAAAAAAGAGGCCGGGAGGTGGATATATTGACCCCCTCTGTTCTGTTCTCCATCTTGCAGGAATATCGGTCCTCACCAAACGGTGACACTGCGCCAGACCTTCACGCCCCTGCGTTCCGGACGCCGCCAGCTGGTCGCCAGCTTAGACAGCCCCCAGCTCTCCCAAGTGCATGGGGCGCTGACGATCAACGTGACCCAGGGGCCCCCGCCAGGACCCTCAGCTTCCCCTGCCCCCGGTCGGGACTCTCCGGTTCGAGGCCTCGCCCGGGCT